TCATGTGTGTAGGGCCCCAAAAGTTTATCATGAAATTTGGCACGGATATCTAAAAAAGTTATCACGTGGATATGAAATTTGATTATTTTAAACATCCATGCCAAATTTAATAGTGATCTATTGGAGTCCTATACATATAGGTAGGGGAAGGTCCTATAGGATCATTTTTCATTTAAATATTATAAGAATAATAACTCTCCCCCACCCATGTGTAGAGGACCACAAGTGATCACCATTAAAGTTTGTACGGATCTCTAAAAAAACTATCATATGATTAGGTGATTTAACTTTTTTATAGATCCATACTAAATTTAATGGTGATTATTTGAGTTCCTATACACATGGGTGGGAGATGGTCTTATAAGACATTTTTCATATTATAAATAAAATATATAGTTATATTTATTTAAATATTCTATATTAAAACATTATTTAAATAATAACTATATTCAAGTCGTGTCCACATGAACCCGAACCCAAATAGTGTTCGGGTCCAAGTTTTGTACCCATACCCGGACTTGGGTCCAGTCCAGTCGTAGGGTTCGGGTCCGGGTCCATTGCCCCTCCTAACCTTGGGTCGCTACTTTTATCCATGTTACTTCCTGAAGCATGAGAAGGGGAGGAAGAGAGAGAGATATTTGCGTTCTCTGCGTATATATTGCGGGAACCTCAACTGAATGCTGCTCATTGTGTACACTGTATTTTTTTTTCATTTTGGTTCTTCTTTTTTTTTATGTTAATATTACTTTCATTTAAAAGGAGCCGAGGTCCATTAAGTACGTATAAACAAATAGGAAAAGAAAAAAAAGTAAAATTCTCTACTTCCAAGAAAGAACACCTAAAATGCACCATACCTCTGATCCTTGAAGACCCGACCTAGGGATCCCCACATGAAACAGCCTTTTAAGGACTAGTCCTCCTCGACCCAACCTTGGCTTCTCACTTTCACTCCGATTAAGTGAATAATATATAGTGAAAAATTTTGGTTAGAGAGAGAGAGAGAGCAAAGGGTGGATCCCAGTGGTCAAATATTTTCCACCCAAGTAGGTACTAAATAGTCGATTACCTTTGGGTATTTTGTTCCAATGTTGATTCTATGCTGGAAAATTATATAAAGATACTATTTTTAGTGTAAGGATATCACAATCATTTTTATCCATTGGATTTTAAAAAGGATGGTTGTGAATGTCTCATTGACTAGACAATAAATTCAAAAGGAAATTTCTTGAACTTCACGATACACCCGAGCAATCCACTTTGACATATGATGGTTATGAGTAATTGTAATCCACTTTTGTTATAAGGAGGTCACAACTATTCGTAGTCCTCAAATGTTAAAAGCTAATGGTATTTATTTATTTTATTTTTATTATGGGTGTGGTTTGTATAGAGCCTAGGCTCTAAACAATCAAATGAGAGCCTATCTTCAAATAGTATCGAGAAATGTGGTTTCAATGCTGGAAATCTTTCTGATAGCCTTAAAATATATTTCCATCTTTATTTATAAAGTTTAAAGCTTAAAAAATAGTGTAGATTGAGAGCTATGAAAACTTGAAATTTTTGAAAATTGATGGTCCAAAAAATACGTTATAAAATACACTATTTTCAAAAATTGAAATCTATTTTTTTCTCGTGTCCATGCATCTTGATGTCGAGATGATCAATTTGAGGATATTTGGACATCAAAACAACATCTTTCTAGTAAAAATTTTAAGTTAGGCCCTTTTATTATTTTTCATTTTTTAAAAGTTTTTAATGACCGGTTATGCAATCTAGATTGCCGCTCTGCGAAACCAGATCAAGAATCCAAATGTACGATCCAGGCCACCGATCTATTTTTTAAAACCTTGGTCCATAGCCATATTTGTGTGAAGAGGGTAGAGGTTCCTTACCATGTTTGTTAGGTGGCCTACAAGTTAGTTTAGCTGGCCTTCCCAAAACTTGTGTTATGTGCGTTGGACAAATCTCCACCGTCAATCACCATCGGGTGGAGTCCACAGTGTTTGATGTGGGCCCCACATACCGTGAAGTGTATCTACTATCTGCTAATGACATAGGACCGACGGTATAGATTTTCCGAGTGGGGCCTTAACCTAGGTGAGGTGGTCCACCATTACCAATGGAAAATGATACTCCGTAGAGGTTTGGAAAATGATTTAGAGAAGCCAAGCTCATTGCTATTTTTTGCAGTTAATTCAATAGAATTAGTGCGTTCAAGGGGCCACGCTAACCCTGGCCCAGCTAGGGTCATGCTGCAGGGGCCCGAGCGTGAATTATG